CTCCAGGAGCAGCTGGCTCGGCCTTTCGCTTATGCTTCCAACTGGAGTTCCCTTTTTCCGATTGACTCGGCTTATACTTGCCACTCCGGAGCCTGTCCTCTTCTTCACCGTTAGCTTATTTGGTGGCAATCTCCATCATTCGACTCAGGGTCATATCTCCGGTCCGACCAAACTTCAGGCTCAATTCTCTGTTCTTGACACCATCCTTAAAAGCACAGACCGCTTGATGGTCCGACACATTCTCCACGGTATGATGCAAAGTGATCCATCTCTGGATGTAATCTCTCAATGTTTCACTCGACTTTTGTACGCAGACTTGCAAGTCTGTCAATCCGGCCGGTCGCTTGCAAGTTCCTTCGAATGTCCTGACGAACACTCAGGAAAGATCTTCCCAGGTGTAAATGCTGCTAGGAGCTAACTGATTCAACCACGCTCTGGCCGAACCCTCTAGCATGAGTGGCAGATGCTTCATGGCCACCTCATCATTACCGCCACCAATCTGTACTGCCACTCGGTAGTCTTCCAACCAGGTTTCAGGCTTCGACTCTCCGGTGAACTTACTTACCCCAGTCGCCAACCTGAAGTTGGGGGGTATCACTGCGGCTCTGATGGCTCTACTAAAGCATTCCGGACCTGAAACATGGACTTGGCTGCTAGTGGGTGCATCTCTGTCATGGCCACCTCTATGAGCTCTATTCCGGTCGACCAAACCTTGCACGATGATGGATCTCGCGTCAAAGCCCGGTTCTCTGGGGTCGACCGGAGCTCTCCGCCCAACACTGAGCTGGCGCCTGTCATCTTGCTGCCGATGGACGTTAGACCCACTTCTCGGAGGAGTGGGCACTCGACGTCTATCATCACGGTCGAGTCGGTCATCATAATGATCCCGCCGGCCATCACGTCCCACGCGCCTCGGAGGCGACCTTGGGCTGTGGGCCGACTGAACAATATTCGCAGCGACAGATCGACTGTGAATCCTGTTGCGCGACTGCGACACAGCTGAATTCTGATCTCCTGCCGCCCGGAGCAAATCTCTGATCTGCAACAAGCCTCTTCCAGCCTCTGACTGAGAGGGCTGAATTGACTCTGCTATACGGGCTGCAGCTGCTAAATTCTGAATTGGGATTCGGTATACCTGAGTCGGTTGCGGAAAGAGTTGACGTCGGCTGGAGTCAGGTACTCGTTGACGCGCACGCTCGTCGAGTTCTCGCTGGAGATTCTCCAGTCGATTGCGTTCAGCCAAGTTGGCCAAACGCGCCTCTTCCAAAGCTCGAGCTTCGGGAGTTTCTCCCGCGATGGGAGTATGCAGGGCATCCATGTTCCGACGGCGAAGATCTTCCCTTTGCTGAGAAGTGAGCGGCTCGGGCTGATATTCTTCATGGGCCTGAGCAAGGTCGCCTCCATCGTCCATCCCATCGACGCGAGGAAAACCTGGAGGGCTACGAGGCCCGTTGACCATCAGGACCTCCGCCGCTGGATCACTGCTGTCGCACTCGGATGTAGTCTCTACGGAGCTAGTCGACAGATCGAACATGCCGTAGAGAGATTCGTCGGGCTCGATTGCCGCGACTTGGGTGGTGGCCGATTGGCGAGCCACTGCGTGTCTCACCCAACGCTGAAGCCTCGACCGACCGGAGCGCTTGCGCTGGCGGGAGACACGGTGGGAGGATGGCGCAGGAGTCGACCGGTATGGGGTCGACGGCTGCCGCAGCAGGACGCCGCGGACACACGCCCTAAAGTGCGTCGCCCCGCGGACGGGGAGCGCGTCGATGTCGAGTGGTGCCTCCTGGAGCCAAGCGGAGTCGTCGGCGATGAAAGCGAGTGCACCGAGACGGATCTCGCGGCCCTCGACCAGAGCTCCGCCAGAAACCATGATGAAGGCAATCGGACAAATTGCAACTTCTCCAAAAAGTCGCTAAGACACTTGCCCCAAGGTGGGCGCCAACTGTTGTGGTTCTAAGCCTGACAGTAGAATGGGAGGTAGGTATGGAGAGGCAAGATCCTAGCTATGGAGTAGTTGTACACACGAGTGTTTAACGAGTTCAGGCCCTTCTCGGAGGAAGTAATAGCCCTACGTCTCGGAGCCCGGAGGCGGTCGACTGGTTTCTGTGTATATGAGTTACAGGGGTGCGAACCCTTTACACTAAGGAGGAGGGTGTCTTATATAGAGTTCGCCAGACCCCTCCGGCCCTCAGTTATGCAGGGTTTAAAGTACATTAAGACAGGGGGTTACTGGTAACGCCCTCATAAAGTGCCATGAAGACTATTAAAGCTACCTAATGACAGGCCGTTGCGAACTGAGTGACTTTAGGTCTCCTGCTCGTCGAGTGATTAGCTTCATGGTCGAGTGGCTACCTTCAGTCGAGTGTCCTTGAGTTCGTCAAGTGAAGTCTCTCTTGGTCGACTGGAAGGTAGCTTCTTCTGAGGATGATGTCCTTGGGTAGGGTACCCTAGATAGGTTCATGACCCTACCCTAGGTACATGACTTCATCAGCCGCCACCAAGGATGTAGGGGTCGCGCCCCAAGCTGCAAGTACGTGGTAGGTGTATCAAAACTGACGAGGACACGGGAGCCGCACTGCAGCATGAGTGTTTTTCATAATTTATTTAGGTATGTGAAGTCTTTTTAATGTTCACATATATGCTGAAATTTTGACATTGAAGAACCAGCAATGGAGTTGTATGAAATTTCTTGCGAGAGGTATACAATTCTTTTTAGTACTAACTAATTCCCATGAGTGCCAATGGTGAAATTTCCAGGCCTATGTACTGGATGATATTTTCATTGCTGGCAATCTTCATCAACCTATCTACGAGGACATTGATATACTAATTGCTACACAAGTGTTCTCAACACTGGCTAGCAAGAAGAGAGCATGATTGTTCAATGCTCACTATTGTAAGCTTGTTTCACGAGGAGCTTCTCAGTGTTGTACATGTAGGGTGTGGTTAATACAAATAAAACCTATTTGTTCAGTCTTCTACTGTACCTCCGATTCGTCCCCCACGGTTCAGTAGAGTACAATTATGTGCTTAAGTATTAGGAAGTCATCATCTTCTAAAACATATTGTTACCTATTCAACCCAGCAAGAAAATAAAGAGTGTGGTGAACTTAACACATTTCTATCTTTATTTGTTATTTCTCTTATTCATAGCGTCTTTTCCCCTTTTATACATCTAACGGTGGTGAACTTAGACTTTGTGTAAGGAGAGCTATTCTGTTTTCTTGAACTTAACAACTCTATATATCCTTATTTATCCAGAAAGCTTTCAGACGACACTCACATCATCTGACTCTTTGAAACATATAAATGTTTTCTCAGATTATTACAATCCAAGGTTTGTTAATTAATCATATTATTTATACTCATAAGTAGTATAAAGTTACCCCAAAATTGTTAATATGATTTTGGATTATATATTATGATGCTGAAAAGGACGTTATTGGTGCCTATTAAAATAACAGTATTTGTTGGTTTTTAATTTAAGTCTTTCAACTCAACTGAAATTATTATTTGTACTCCCTCCGTTCCTAAATATAAGTCTTCCTAGAGACTCCAATGTGAACTACATACGGAGCAAAATGAATGAATCTACACTTTAAAATATGTCTATATACATCTGTATGTAGTCCTTATTGAACTTTCGAAAAAGACTTATATTTAGGAAGGGAGGGAGTACAACATTTACTGACTTACCTCCTGTTAGCTATCTGGAACGATTGTGGGTATTAATGAAGAAGTCCTCGTTAGGTGGACTAGCTCAAAATGGAGAAGTATGTTGGTATTTTCGGTTGATTGTTTTAAGCATTTAAGCTCGTAGCAACTTGTAACGTCAATATCTTCGGGGTGCCTTGCAATATTTCAAAAAACTATATATTTTTTCCAGCGTGATGTGATCCGGCCTGATCTAGCATGCTACCCTGAGACGTCGTGACCCCATTCCTCCTCACATATGGCGGTTTTGGATAGTGTAGACACATGGAGACAATTTGGAGATCTGATTCTCCCTCCCTCCCCCCCCCTTCTCTCTTAGTTCCAGATGGCAATGGGTACCCGCTACCCGCGAACCCGGCGGGTAAAAACCCTATTAGGGTAAGGATTTGGGAAGAAAAATTACCCATGGGTTTATAAATGGGACAAAAAACTATACCCATCGAGTAAGCCGGGTACGAGTATGGGACGACAATACCCATACCCGCATACCTGCGTACCCGTATGCTTATTCATTATGACAGGTAGGCCCTAAATGTCAGTCACTAAAAACATCAAAACCCTAACTGAACCCAGCCGAGGCGGCAGCCAGCGGCCCAACGGCCAACGCCCAGGCCCATCAGTCCACTCCCCCTCGATCCCAATTCCCAAATCCCTCCCCGAGACCCCAACCCACCCCCGTGCCGTCACTCCAGAAACCCACCTCCCTCTGTCTCTCTCGCCACAAACCCTAGAGAGGAGGAACCATAGGTCGCCGCCGCTGCCTGCAGCGACGCGACCGGCCACCTCCATCCTCTCCTCCTCTCCTCCCTCTACCTCCTGTCCTCGACGCGACCTCCACGCGAGACCTGCAGCTCCTCTTGTCGCCATCTCCCTCCACGTCCTGGCACCTCCAGCCGCCATGGCGCTCGACCAGGAGGACGCCGACGAGGCGCTTCACTCCAGCGCGGATCCAACTCCGGTGGACGGGGATGGATTTGAAGAAGGCACTGGCAGTGGGTCTCGTGTGCCGACACCTTCTCCTACCTCCAAGCCCGTGTGTCTTCAGCCACCATCAACAGGGCGGGTTCCCGGGCGCAGCTCCACTGTTCCCGGTTGCAAGGTGGGGCGTGGTCGTGGTTGTGGCCGTGGTGGTGCCAGTGCTACACCTGCAACGGCGGCGAGAAGGGCAGCAAATCCAGCAGCAAAGCATCCAATTTGGTGAAGAGTTTCACCTTTTTTATTGTGTTGATTAGATCTATTGTTGAATGATTGAATGTGTTCATTAGATTTAGCCGATCTTTGCCATGCTCCATGGAATTGAGCCATCTTCTTATGAATGCATTGAAAAAGTTGATGACATAGTTGGTAGTTTGCATTCATTATTGGAGGAGTATGAAGTGGAAAATGAGGCATGTACACCAGATGATGAGTCTATGATGACCACAATGAAAGCTCCTGCAATCATGAGTGTATTTCAGAACATTGTAGCTCAGCAAATGCCTGCAACAGCTAGACTTCAAGGTGAAATAGAGCAGCACTTGACTGATGGTTTAGTGCCTTACGTTGAAAAGTTCAATGTGCTGGATTGGTGGAAGGTGGCTGGAACAAGGTATCCGACCTTAAGGAAAGTAGCAAGAGACATATTTGCTATTCCCGTAACAACAGTTGCTTCAGAGTCAGCCTTTAGTATAAGTGGCAGAAAGCTCAATGATCATAGAAGCCGACTTACACCTTATATGGTGGAGGTTTTAATGTGCTCGCAAGATTGGCTTCGAAACAAGTACAAAGGTGACAAAATAGTGCACTTCGTTAATATTTTCTCTTGCTGAAATGTTGTTGACGTTTGTCTACTTTTGTAGATGCTCACACAACAGAAACTAGCTTCTGGACTTGTCTTCAAGATATTCAAGAAGGGATGCAGGTTAGTACTTGGTAGTACTTAAGAATTCAAATCAAACATATCTTGTATTCTTGTTATGATGTATCTTATTACTACTATAGAATTGCACGTCAAAGATATCTTGTATTGTATTCATGTTATCTTCTATTCTTGTTATCTTAGTAGTACATAAGAATTGCAAACAAAACATAGCTTGTACTCATTACTCTCAAGTTCTCATGTCTTGCAATTTATATGTCCCATACTAGGAATTGATGCTTTGAAATGTCAAGGCTAGTCAAGGCTCATGAAGTGGAGAGAAGATGAAAGCAAGTCAAGTTGGTCTGGACCATTCGGTTTCATGTTGGAGATGTCAGATGTTGAACCTATTTGTGTGTTGAGATGTTGAACTTATTTGTGTGTTGAACCTATTTACCATTTGTGTGTTGAACCTATTTGCGGTCTACGAACTTATTTGTGTGTCGAACTTTGTGGTTGAAATGACTATGCATGTGCTGAAATATTTCCAAGTGCTGAAACTTGACATATGTGCTGAAATTCTGAAACTATTGTTCAAGTGCTAAAACTTGACATGTTTATGTGCTGAAATGCTGGAATACATGTGCTGATATATGTATGTGTGTGTTCAGATGCTGTAATATACATGCTGAAATGTGGTATATACTGATATAAATGCTGAAATGTGGTATGTACATGCTGATTGCTGAAAGTACATGGCAAAATTTTATTTGAAAGGTGAGCCATACGGGTATGGGTTACCCGCGGGTATTACCCGCACCCGGCCAGGTACGGGTATGGGAACGATATGATACCCGGGGTGTACAGGTACGGGTTTGGGCAGAAAAAAATGGGACGGGTGAGGGTTTGGGCAAGCATTACCCGCACCCGAACCCTGCGGGTGCCATGAGGACTCTTAGTTGCTAATAGAATAATGAACAATCGGTAAGACTAATATTATAGACCTCCTCCTCCTCAATCCTACCATGTATTATTCGACTTTTGTGCTAATACAGAAAAAAGTATGTTGTAAACTTGTGAGTCATGAGCAATATTCTCTGGGCAAGTTTTAGCCTACTTATTCACAATTGATGCTGCATGTCAATCACCCTTTCACCCTTATTTTTTATTTTAATGTCTTAGTGTATGTATAATTAGGGTTTTTCTCCTGTTGGTATTTGAATAGGAGTTGCTCGCTTCCCTTTACATCATAGTTCATAGTACAACACACACATTTCCTTTTGAGTCTTATGTGAATTTCATTTTGAGCCGATACATTAAATCTGAATTTACATAATTCTAACAAAACTAAAAACTACTATAAAAATATAAATAAATGCCAATAAATTTTTGATCAACAAATGTTATCAAAGATTGATGTATCTACCTCTCCCAAGATAGCTAGGAGTAGCATGTTCTAGAAGATGTGTTTTGCTGCAACGGTTTCTAAATAGTATATTGTATGGTTTCAAGTGTCTAAATTCATATGCAATATCGATCTTAAGCATAACAAAACATTCAAGTGTTATTATCATTTGTAATGCAATGCACAGTAAAGAGGTCAATGTTTGTGTACCACCTTTATTTTGTGCATCAGATATGATAACCCTTTTGTGTATAAGGTAGAATTATATTTTATTATCGAAATACATTGCAAGCGAATTACATTACAATTATTTTGGCTATATTTTCTATCTATATGAAATTTTACATGCAACCAATCAAATTATGAAAAGCCCGTGACAACACACGGGCAGTCTACTAGTGAATATGAAGGTATCAGTAATTACTCGGTATCACCTGGTAACAGTGACAGTATAACACGCGCTACCTCCTACTACATGGCCGAGGAAATCGCACTACCCTCCTGCATCGTGCGTATAAATATAAGGTATCCGTTATTATTCGGCATCACGTGGTAACAGTGACAGTATAACTCGGCATCACGTGGTAACAGTGATATAACGCCCGCGGCGGCGTTTCTGCACCCAGGTCAGGTCTAGATGCTCTCATCCGTGAACAGTAATAAAATCATTTAAAATAGTAAAATACTAAAAAGATCCAAAAAAAATTGATGAAGTTTAGACATACAAGGAGCTCATGGCAAAAATGACGAATTTCAAGTATGTGAGGAAGTTTGAAAAAACTCGCTTTTCATAGTTGATTTTGTCTTTTTTAACATGAGATCCTCGAATGTCATTTACCCATGAAATTTTGCACGCACCTGGTGCATGCAAGCATCTTGCTTGCAAAAAAGTTTTAGAATTATTTGAATTTTCTTACTATTTGTTTTTTTATTTTATCATTCAACAGATGTAGATGAGGGCATCGTTTTGAATATCCCGCGCGCTAGCCTCCTACATGGCTGAGGAAATTGCACAAATGACTAATTTGTTTAAAAAATACACAGACTATTAGTTTAACCCATTGCAACTAGCATTAATTCATCATTTGACTATATCGACAGGATTCCTGCGAATGGACCTCGCTTGACTACATTGTCACATTGACATGATTTCCTTGTGAATGGACCGCACTGGCAAATATCCTGACCGGTCAACAAATTTTTTCAATTTTTTATTTTTCCAATTTTAATATTTTCGAAAATACAAAAGCAATCCAGTAAATCATATATGTATTGAGTAAATAAAATTTGTCAATTTTTTCTTTTTAAAATTTAATATTTTCGAAAATAAAAAAAGTAAATCATTATATATATATATATATATATATATATATATATATATATAGAGAGAGAGAGAGAGAGAGAGAGAGAGTAAAGAACTGGAAAAGTTGACTCATTCTGACCATAGGACTAGAAGTTTTAGTTAGGTTTATCACGTGGCAATTTGGTAAGCAATCCAAAAAAAAATTTAAAAATAGTTAGGGTTGAGTCGACTGATGTGACATGTTCATTTGGCCGCATGTGCACTTACAGGCAGGACCCACCGATTGCACATCTTGTCGACAGATTCAAATGATGAATTAGAGCTATCTGCAACCGATTACAGCAATAGATGATGTTTTGTATAGCAAATTCAAAGAGTGTGTTCTGTACAAATTCCATCCCAACAGTCGATGGCTAGTGCAATTTTCTCTACATGAGTACATGCCACGCGCTGTAGCATCCCGTGAGCCTATCTGCTTTTCAGAGCTCGCTGTAACATACATGACGCGAGCCCTATTTTCGTTTTATTCTCACGCTGCCTTGCCTGCCACAGATGTGCGACAGAGATTTATGGAATCTGAGAGGGAACGAAGAGGAAGAGCCAAGGAGCGCCGGGGACCGGGGCATGTGACCCTTGTTTGTTCCAGCTTTCACTATCTGTCATGAGTTTCAGTTCCAAACTGTTCGAAGACTCCGTTTAGGTCTTACAATTGAATCGTACCATTGGCAATGAAGCTCAATTTAAGAGTTTCTTTTACGTTTTTTTTTCTTTGCAGCAAGAGATTCTTTTTTATGTTAAAACTTTAGGCTTGCCCTAATCAGGCTTTTCTAACTTGACTAGGTTTATAGAAGAATCTATCAACATTTATAACGTGAAATATGTTTTTATCACTCCCTCCGATTCATATTAGTTGTTGAGCGACAATTAATATGGATCGGAGGGAGTATCTCGTTTTTATAGACTTAGTTAAATATAGTGAAGTTTCACTTAAGAGTTAAGACAAAACTAAATCTTTAAATAAATTAGAATATAGGGAGTATATGCAAATAAAATTTATTACACAATTAGTTTATTCTCTCTTTGTCTTTGTCTTTTTCCTGTAGATAAATTAGTCCATTTAGGTAAGACTGTAGCGACATGCTGAAGGCCGTACTGCACTATGGATCAGATCAGGTCCTGCTAATGCACCACAACTTTGTATGGAGGATCTCCCTCCAAGTTGAGCAATGAAATTCCTTTAACCCGGCAGAAAAAAAGACTGTAGGGACGTGGTGGTCTGTGTTTTCCCTTGTGGCGCCGTTGGTTACTAGCGCTCTCCCATATCAGGGGCTCTTTTATTCGAAGGATTTTATAGGATTTTTTTTAGTATTTAGGTTTTTTTCTATACCGATCATTTGATTCATTCTAATTTAGATTTCTTTTAATTATAATAATTGTGACTATATAAATGCTCTGTCATGTATAAATTATGTTATCAAATACCTAAACAAACGTTCCTACGTTATTGAAAAAAACACATAACTTAAAAAAACACATAACTAAAGACAATAATCATGAATTAAAAAACATTCATCCTGTATTTCAAAATTTTCCATCGCATAATAAAAAATGTATGCCAAAATTTGTTCATTGTGCATTAATAAAAGTTCATGTAATACAAAAAGTTCACCCATTTGAAAATAATTGAAGTAGTTTATAAACAAAATTCTCACATATTTTTAATAAGTTTTATGTAAAATTTATTGAATATTTATAAAATGTTCGTATATTTATCAAATGGAAATGTTTTTTGGCACATTTTAGAAAATGTTTGTGTATTTTTCAAACATTAAACGAAAATTTTCATATGTTAAAAATAAGTATTCATGTACCTCTAGAATATGTCTGTGTTTCTGAAGAGATATATTCATGTATTTTTACCCCAGAAAATAGAGGAAAACAAAACAAAATCATCGCCCGACTGTACTTTTATACATAAACATATGTACGGAGGAGCAGCCAGTGCCAGACCATTTGGTCGGTAAAACAGCCGCATATGTATACATTTTGTTGCCACTCAAAAAAAATGTATACATTTTGTTAGGGGTGGCCGCACACAAATACTCTCTTCATTTCTAAATATAAGTATTTTTAGATATTTCAATATGGAGTATATATAGATGTATATATACATACTTTAGAATGTAGATTCACTCATTTTGCTCTGTATGTAGTCCATATTGAAATATCTAAAAAGACTTACATTTAGGAAGAGCGGGAGTACATGCCGATTGACCGTATTCGTCACACATAGAACTACACTTGTTGGACCAGTCCTCACATTGTGTGCTATGGAGGCGTCCATGGCATGATGGTAGACATGTACTTCCTCCGTTCTAAAATAGATGATCCAAATTCATACTCCCTCCGTCCCAAAATTTTTGTCTTAAATTTATCTAAATGCGGATGTATCTAACACTAAAACGTAACTAGATACATCCGTATTTGAACAAATCTAAGACAAGAATTTTAGGACAGAGGGAGTACTTTAGTATGAATTTGGGTCATCTATTTTAGAACGGAGGGAGTATGTGTAACACCCACGATGCCGCTGTATC